TTGATGACACACTTAGCAATTTTCTAGCAATGTGAGGGTGGTCTGTTAACAGTTGGGTCATCATGATCATTGATCTACTCAACAAGGATATTGTTACATGCATCAGCCAATGATGTCATCGAGTCTGACCACCCATGCTTGATGATGCTGCAAACAACACACATATATCATATATTTATCATAATTGTACCAATTCATTAGAATGTACTGACATGATATGCTTATATTTTGTTCTTTCATGACTTTTCGAATGTATAAAATACACACAAAGAACTTAAATAAGCACCCCCTGTATTTTTGCAGTGATAGGTTTTCAACACGTACATACAACTTCTGGTGACCACGATGGGAAAATATGAGTTTTTCTGACACGCACGATCCTTTGACTCATATAAAACGACAAAATGGTTGGAATCCATGTTGATTTTATGATGATAATTGCACATTGATATTCATACAAAACCATACTTGTACAAGTATGGCCCTGGAATGTTTAATGTTGAATTTACTGTTGAATGTGAACATTCAAAATGTCATTTTTCGTGTCTTACACTATTCAAGGTCAATACTGAGTGTAACCTCCATGTGATTGTATGACAGCCAGCAACTCCTCTCTTCATATCCCTGTCAGCCTCCTGATCCTCTGAAGGGGCAGTCTACACTATTCCTCGTGTAAAGCAGTTTCCAATTCGTCCAGTTTCTGTACAGGAGGATCCCTTTGTTGCACACAACGCCCAACCATGTCACATATCCCCCAAAGGGTTAAGATCAGGGCTTATTCAATCGTGAGATATGTCAAGGGGTGCTTAACTAGGTTCTTTGTGTATATATTATAGTAAGATTTTTTTCAAATTTCTACTGAATTTTTCTGTTTGTGTACACAGTTCGTCCAGTTCTGTTCACGCGTAAACACGCTTTGCAACAATGGCACAACGCATTCGCCAAAGCTGACAGATAATTTTTCTTCTGAGTTAAAGTGTTGTACTGGTTGCATCAGATTATATCTGCAAAGAGACACAGATCAAGTGTAGACTTGGGTCAAATCTCACCAACACGTGGATGCATCTCTTTCATACTGGTTTGGATGGTCACGCTAAAGACCCAGCTTCGATTCCCCACATTGGTGCAATGTCCAGTCATAGTGTCCGCAGCCGTTATATTGCTGGAATATTGCTTAAAGTGGAGTAAGACCATAACCAACCGCTTAATCAAACTGCCTGGCGACATTTTGCTCACTTGGATCGATTCTGACAAAAAGGAATGCGTAAGGAATGAGTTCTGGGGCTTTGTTCCTCCCTCCAGTGTCCATTCTGAATTGGTCAGTGGAAACACTGATTGCTACGTTCTTCTGCTTTTCTGAAAGAACCCCCACTCTGATGTCTAAGGGGTGGCAGGATGGAGGTCTAAAAGGTGACGATGGGTAAACCAATTGGTATATCTATGCAGAGTTGAGCCGGGACTGTTCGTGGAACTCCTTGTTTTGTCAGGCGTCTAAGTAAGAAAATACACCTACCAGGTTGTTTTGGGGCAACCGATTATTTCCATGAAACTCGGTTGGAAAAGCCTGTACGAGAATCCAATAGTCTTGAACAGTCGTGTATGATATAACATTCAGTGCCGTCTTGTCATTGGTCGACCAGTCAGGTCTGTCGGATAATGTTGCTTCTAAACGTGTTATCGCTTCGATTTAATCATTCTTAATCAAGCATTATCCATCTTATATAAAAAGGTTTAAAAAAATACTACATGGTGTATATGGTTTAAAAATTGTAACATGAAAATTGAAATTAAGCCATTTATGCATATTGTCCTTTTTGGGAGGGGACGGGTACTTAAAAAAAAGCATTCCTCTGTTATTGTTTAGGATGGAGACTTGCAGCATAGAAGACTTCATGAATGAAGCTGAGTAAATTGTTTAGTGGTTGAACCATTCACGTCCCTGTAAGCATGGCGAGCTCCAGTGGCAAGCCCGCTCCCCTGCCAATTCGGCGAAGTGTGAGGTCAGATGATTTGTTTCTTGGTTCCAATTTTAACCATGTAAGTTCATTAGAGTGTGTTTAAACATTTCGTTATTCAAATGGAAAAATAAAATGAAAATGGTTTGCATTTTTCCTTACTCAATTTTCCGGAACATTACCGTCCCCAAAATGGGACAATATGCAGATTAGTGTACTTATTTTTTGTAACTGGTTAGGATCTGTATGATCAACTTCCCAAACCATGTATCATCATGAGCGATCTGAACGGACTCAACCCGCTTTGGGAAGCGTCCATACTAACCATAAAGGTAAAACCCTTGAGGAATTTATTTCAGAGAATAACCTCTGTATATTTAATGAATCAAACACTAACCTCCATCGAGCTACTGGAACATATTCTGCCCTCGACCTTTCACTCACTGATTCAACCTTGTATAATGAATTTGAATGGATGGGCCATGATGACCTATGTGGTAGTGATCACTCCTCCACAATTCTTCAAACTCTCAACATTGGTGATGATCCTCCTTTTTCAAGAAGGAACTTTACCAAGGCTGATTGGTCATTATATAAGACTCTATGTATTGAACATCTAAAACATGATCTTTTTCATCAACAGTGAGGATGCTGTGCAGTCGTTTTCGGGTATACGTAATGACATTGCTGACAAAACAATTCCACAGTCCGCTGCAACTCCACATATTCGTAAACCATGGTGCAATAATGAATGTACACAGGTCAGAAAGTGCAGAAAGAAAGCTGAAAAGTATTTTCGACCATCCTACAGTGCATAATTTGACTAAAGTTAAAATCTTAAATGCCAAGCCTCGACGCGCAATTAAACAGAATAAGCGTCAGTCTTGGAGAACATATGTTTCAAAATTAAATTCACGCACACCGATTTCAAAGGTGTGGAACATGGTACAAAGAGTAATGGACAAAGGTTCAAAATCTACCGTTCACCATTTGAAGGACGGTGACAATTTATCAACTGACAGAGCTTTGCCAACAAACTTGCTGACACTCTCGCCAAGCATTCGTCTTCAGTTTCACAAACATCAGCAACAACAGGAGGTTCACAACTTCTCAAAACTTTTGTGATGTACTCTGAATACAAAATACTATTTAATGAAGCAAACTAAATCTATCATTATATTTTCGCCATATAATACTTACAATGGCATTCCGAGAAATATTTACCCAAGGCCCTTCACTTCCTCCTCCTCCACATACATGTACACTGGTGCTGCCATTTTAACGCGCGTGTGAATGCACCTATAGCTACCCAACCCTGTACCCATCTATGCATATCGTCCCATTTTTAGGACGCGATTTTGCAGTGTAAAGAAAGTACGAAAAACATTATTTACTGGTAAAATGACACCCCATTCCTTCCATTGCTTGCCAAAAGAAACTAACTCACAAATTTTGATGAAAATCTAAGATCCTATGCATATATGGGTTAAAATGCAGCAACAATTTACTTGCAGTCACACAATCCCCTCGCACGTTTAACATCTGCCAGTCTCCTCCTCCTCATACTTGCAATCAAGGATTGGATTCATAGAGTGTGTACGTCAATTCCTGCAGATTTTGAACAGTTGGATCTCTAGCTCGAACTTGGTATCCCAAAGACGTTCGGTGATGTTCATATCCTGGATTCTTGCGGACCACGATAATGTTTCGATGGCATTGATCTGCAAAGGGGTAATGGCGGCTCGAGGACAGTGAGGTCTTGTTATCAGTGAATATCCGACGACTGGCGAGGTGATGGTTAGCAAAATGTGGCACGACGGCTGTATCTAATAGTTCCTTTCTTAACGGCGGCCGCTGAGTGTCCCAGGTACTGGAATGAAATCCAACTTGCTGTCATACGTAACGCAACCCACCACCATCACTGAGCCACCACCAAAGTGTTCAGCAGCATGGATATCGATAATTTCTCCAGGTGATATGCTTCGTTACGACATCTCCAGACGCGACAACGACGTCAGTAACGTGTAGAAGCTCGCAACTTTCATCAGGCCAGTGAACCCTTCGTCATGTACTCAAGATGCGTTTTTCACGGAGCATGCACTGCGTCAGACGTTCCTGCCTGTGCCAATCTGTAAGAAAAGGACGTCTGATTGGGCGACGTTCCTTCAGAACAGCAACCCGCCATTTCCATCAGATGGTATTGTGGAGTCCCACTTTCTGTTGCATGGTACGGGTAAATGGGATTGCATCTTGGTTGCCCGATGAATTCAGTCATCATGGTCATTGGCTGTCGTTGGTCTTCTAGGTCTTGGAGGATCCTTCACTTTATCGGTGGTCACGTTGACAAATAACATTGTGGCTTATGTTCGTACCGATTTTGCGACAGGACATCTATGCGTCGTACATGCACATCATTTTTCTGAAAGTCTGTGTAAATCCGTAAAAGATGTAATTGCTGCTGTAATACCATTCCGCTTCTTCCAGTGATTCATATGAGTGAGTGAGTGAATATGATTTTACGCCGCTTTTAGCAACATTCCAGCAATATCACGGTGGGGGACACTAGAAATGGGCTTCACACATTGCACCCATGTGGGGAATCGAACCTGGGGCTTCGGCGTTACGAGCGGACGCTTTAACCACTAGGCTACCCAAACCGCCCCGGTGATTCATCAGAGGAATAACAGTGTTTCGCAAAATGCAGCTTAGCAGCCTCTGTGGCAGACCGTGTCCCAAACATTCTTTTAAGCGTCTTGGGTTGCCTTCTCCGTTAGTAACATAGCATATCCAACATGCCCACCCTTTAACATTGCTGGTGACATTTCAGATGAAACGAGCATCATTAGGGTGCCGTTTCACAAAACAACCTCGAGGGGCCTTAGAGTTATGACTGCCGCTTTAAGTATGTCCATGGGACACCAGAAAGGTATTGGGGAGTTTCGACCCAACGCTCACTTTTAGTACCCGCACTATCTGTCATCACTTTGTCTACTATCTGTCATCATGAATCTGTGAGTGGTGAGTGAGTGAGTGTGTAATGAAACATAACAAGAAACACTACTTTACCATGGCCTTAACAGACGACCTCTCGTACCTTCCATGAAATGTCACAAGATTGTGTGTGCAAACTACTTTACCATGGCCTTCGCGGATGACCCATCTTACATCCCATGGTGCGGTGGGATAGCCTAGTGGCTAGGCGTTCGCTCGTCACGCTGAAGACCCGGGTTCGAATCCCCACATGGGTACAGTGTAAAGCCAATTTCTGGTGTCCCCCACCGTGATATTGCTGGAATATTGCTAAAAGCGGCGTAAAACCAAACTCACTTACCCACTCTTACCTTCCGTGAAACGTCACAAGATTGTATGTTAACTTTACCATGACCTTCACCGATGACCTTTCTTGCCTTTCACGAAACATCTACTACGTAACTAACTCATAAGCTTAAGAATGTGAGATTTGTTCAGGTGTTTTTCTTCCGGTAATATATCAATTACTTCACCCTATACACATGTTAGGAATATACATTATTTAACACGGTAAGGTTATGATTATAACACTACTGCCGCGCATTTGTTGTGGCAAATGTTACATGCACCGGTGCAGCCTAGATATGGCGAAATCTCTGTCATCGTTGATGATTAATACGACTATAACGTCACACATAACAGTCGCATTGTGTCAGAAAATATATCACAGTGCTTACAATAACCGCCCCTGGGATCTAATCTGAACGTACATAAGGCTTATATGACCGAGACGCATCATAACTTAAAAATACAGAATATATCAACATGCATGAATTCCGTCTGTCTTGCCCCGAAAACACGGGACAATGAGGGTAAACACAAACAAGAAACAGCCTGTCTCCATTTGGATAAGAAATTATCCATGACGATTTCAGTCGACTGCACAAGTGTTGAATTGACTGGTTGTTACGCGGCGGGAGAGGAGATAGCAGCCGACTGACGAGGAGGGGCAGCCGAGAAAGTGGGAGGGACAGTTTCTGGAGGAGTGGAAGGGTGGAGACTTTTCGTTGGAGAACAACTCCTGCTCGCAAGATTGTAAACAGTGTCTCTATATTTGTAGCAGCCATATGTTTTTTTCTCTGACTGGACGCTGTACACATATGTGAATCAGTACATGTTGTGAGCCAAAGAGCAACCGTTCAACGCGGACTTTGTCCTTTGTGAAGGACAGGTGAGTCAGTGAGTTTGTTTTTACGCCGCTTTTAATATATTCCAGCAATATCACGGCGGGGTACACCAGGAATTGGCTTCACATATTGTACCCATGTGGGGAATCGTACCCAGGTCTTCAGCGTGACGAGACAACGCTTTACCCACTAGGCTACCACCCCCACCCCACCCCCACCCCTCAGATCGACAAGGCCATACTGATAGGTTTACAATTTGATTTCAAAAGTATTTGACAATTATTTCGTTCACACATTTTGACTCACCCGTGAAGATTCGGGTTAAAATTGATCTTCAGCAACCCATGCTTGTCGTAAGAGGCGACAGACGGGATCGGGTGGTCCCGCTTGCTGACTTGGCTGATATATGTCATCGTATCCCAGTTGCATTAATCGATGCTCATGATGTTGATCACTGGATTGTCACTGGTCACTGATCACTGGTCGAGATTCGATTTTTTACAGACAGCCGCCATGTAGCTGGAACACTGTTGAGTGTGGCGTTGAACAACAAACAAACCTAACTGATTTCAGCATTATTTGACGTACGGAAAGACTCAAAACCATGTCTTAACTATGAACTTTTCTCCCCCCACACAGCAATGACATCTGAAAACGGTCCGTGGGTCGACCATCTGCCAAAGGAAATAAATGTCACAATCCCCCTAACATCTGAAGATGAAGAAAATGGCAACAAAATCAACCATTTGCCTCGAACGAGGAAGATCCTATACGGCATTGACGATACACCAGGGACGTGCCTGTTGCCTTTGTTTGCCCTTCAGGTAGGCGAACCGTTTACTGTTAACTTTCTCTGCTGTTTAATGCCTCCCTCAGCATTATTCCAGCTACATGACGGCGGTCTGTTAATAATCGACCCTGGGACAGACAGTGGTTGACATGGATCTAGACCATTGGCAGATGATGACATGCATCAACCAAGTCAGCGAGCCTGACCTCGAGGTCCTGGATCTTCACGGGTCCTGTGTTTGTATGTCCATCTGCGTAGTGTTCAATATTGCATATTCTATTTACATTTCGAGGGACAGCGATACGAGTATGAACAGCATACAGGTACGTTAGACCTAAACATGTGACCGACACGTTAGTAACATAGTATAGACCCACATGGAGTAAATTACCAAAGAAGAAGCTCCTCTGGAACGTGTTCAGATATGGCGATAAAACGACCAAATCTTAGTTCATAGGAATTTGTCAAACCGCTCGAGTGATGAATTCGGTTAATCATTACTCCTTTCATTATTTTCATATTTGACATTTAATGGTGTATATTTCATTTATTCCATAGCAATTGAAGCAAATCAACAGCCTTATAACATCTTTTGAGAAAATCCATTTGCCGAGAAAAACGTTCCTGGAACTTTTAGATAAGAAATGATGAACGTCGTGTTGGTAGCATGCTCGAAACTGTATGAAGCAAAGGGAAAAACCCTTTAATGTCTTTTGGGAAAATCCATTTGCCCAGAAATGTTTTTTAGAGCTAGTCATTAAAAATGAAGCTGTATAACGGTAATAGCATCAATAAAGATTTAATCTGTTGTGTTTTAATACATCTGTGGCGTAATAGTCCTCCCCTCCTTGCGGATGTGTTTCTTTATGTGCATGAGTCAGAATTTCTGCTCGGGTTGGCAGTTAGGCCGTCCGTATTTTGTTCTGTGTTTCTCATCTCCCGACCGACCCAAATTTTCCTTCCGACAGAACAAAAGCAAATAATTTTATTTTACAAAATGCTGTCGACAGCAATAATTTCAGCCCGATCAAACGAAAAATGTGTCTTAAAAGTCAACTTTGAAAAAATGTAACATTTTGAAAAGTCTCTCAAGCATCTAAATGGGCGATCTTTTTTAATTTATCTTCCCTTCACTAATCCGCTTGGAGCGCTGATCCGGACGGTCCAACCTTAAACTGACAGCGCATGTCGTATGCGCGATGGGAGCTGTTCTTTTACTAAACACTTAGAGACAGTTAACCAGTACAGCCTTCACCATCACCGTTAACGTTCACGTTGGTGCATATGGACAGTATATCTTTTCCCTTGACTGATGATATATCAAGTGTGATATCCTGAAATATCTGTTCCGTGATTCCATGATACACCGGGGATAGCCATGACTGCTTATATTGCATTAATGAATCGCAAAATGGCCATTCGAAGCGAGGCGGTGGAATCAGATGATCGTTTTCAGGTCATGTTTTGTGATTTTGTTGACGTTTTGCAATCGGTAATTAAAATCTGGCACTACATGTCTGAATATCATTCTTTTAAGTCTGCAGTGTATTTTTGTGTTTGTACTCAAATCTATATCGTATTACGCCGATTAGGCTACATTCATGTAATGCAGTACGGTCGGGAGCTGATTCTGTGCGCGAAATGTGAACACATTGTTATGCAACGTGTGAATTTCGTCGTGAATTTTATCTGATATTTTTGTATGATGGTGCGTGTGTACTTTAATATTACATTACACATGCATTACACTTTATTCAGTCATTGTACAACAGTATTATCTGTTAAATTTGTAATAAGAATATGCATACACATATCTACATGGAATTTATGTCATAAAAAACATTTGATTTTAAACACATTTTCTGTGTTAATTCCTAACAAACAGACATAATACTTAAGCAACCAGTGAGCTACCAGTGGACGACAGCCTTTGACCGGTGGCCAAAAAAAACTACAAAAAGTGATAAATCTCTCCAAAAATAAAGAAAGTGCCATTTAAAGAGGCTCTATTAAACGTTTGTAGCATAATTATTCCATTTAGCTTCCTTATGTTTAATGATATATGAACTGTCTAAAATTGAGAAAAAAGGATTCTCACAATAAGAAAAGCCTCTTTTTATGGTCTGGGTACTGGAGGAGGGTCATTATCTGTCACCAGCTTGAAAAGAAGATGGCAAACTGCTTCTTCTTCTTTTTTTTTTTGTTTGCATTCTTTATTTTTTTTCTTCGCCCGCCCGCCCCTCATCAGCACCAGTTTGGAGATGAGAAACATAAAAAAAAAGTGGATGGTCTTACTTTGCTCAAGAGGTTTCAATTAGGCTTCAGCTATAGCGTTGCCCTGTTATCATTCAATAAAAGTCAAATAGCCGATTCCATACAACCGAGTCACACACCGGAACTTGAAAAAACGGAGACCCGCTAGACAGCAATGGACATCCAGAGTGATAACAATATCTCTCCACAAGGCTTCAACTTTCCAATGGGTGACTTTCCTTTCATGCCCTCGCTTCAGACAACATTCCAACAGCTCCAGCCTTTGGTGTTGACATTTCACGCGTATTCTGTAACAATCTATCATGCCCATTTTTATCAAGAATGTAAAGAGCGTCACACGACTAAAATGTTGCTTGATCAAAGTTACAGCATTCGGGTCCTAGGTAAAGCTTTCAAAACTACTATGGTATATACGCCGTGGAAGTTTCAAAATTTTAAGTATCACTGACAAAAATGATGTCCATTCCAAATTGTTGGAGTTTTAAGCCTCAGATACGTGTGTACTAAAACTAACGGCAAAAGCAAGTACATATTTATAAGCACGTACTAACACTCGTACGCCACTATTTGTAATTAAAGAATATATAATGAATACTATTAATGCATACTTCATATGGAGACTCCGTGTTTCGAAGTTAGTCAACTGAATAGAACTGTTGTAGTTGTAATGATTACTTTGTATACTAAGGATTAATTTCTTCAGGTCATTACCTATAACGAACCGTCAGCATTAATTATTACATATATTAATAGTTTGTAATCTATCGGCCAGAACCCGAAAGCACAGATTGGTGCAAAAGGATTGTTAAAACATCAAACCTCTTCTTTGTCAAGCAGTGTGAACAGACGTTAAGACACCTGAACAATTAGGGTGTCTGTTTTGTGCGACTGTGATTCATAACCTTTATGTGGTGAATGTGGCAGAGTGTCCACATTCCTCACACTGTGTACATTTGGAGACGCACCTGCCTTCCGATTGACACACTGCAGTTGCATTAAACATATCCCACAAACATAAATGAACAAGAATAACATGTGCAATGAGCATATCTAATTGGCATTCCAGTTTGATTCAATGGTGATCCAGCTGTATCAAGCTCCACAGAGTTCTCTCCCATGGGCACACCAGACTCCGATGACCAGCGTAACGAATATAATCGTATCCTGAATACATTAGGATTCTTTCCTGGTCATTCTTTAACCAGTGCCCCATTGGAAGTGTCCTTCCTTTAAAGACTGTTGGTTCATTATAACAGCAGATTCATAAACAATGCACCAAAACTGCCTTGGGTATAATGTGAACAAGAAAAAAATAGGCGATATCATTTGGATAGTCGAGTTCACGCAATGCGTGGGTGAAACGATGATCCACTTGCTCTCATGCGCCATACGTAGCTCTGCAAATCTCCTGCTGATTCCCATTAGGCTGCCAGGACCGTTTATTTTGCATACCGAATTCAAGAACATCCCTAATTACATTATGGTGTTTGACTCTGCCTGTAATGGCTGAGCTCTTGAATGTCATAATAGTGAAAACTTCCACGATCTGATGTTATCACTGTTTTTCAGTGATCCAACCATATATTTTCATAACTGTTTTGCCCTCTACCCCCAAAGGAAACGGATGAATCTCGCAGTAAGACTAAACAAAGACACAAACAAGCAGGATCCAAAGGTTAAAATATAACGTATGGACGTGGTCATATTATTCTTCAAATCCCCAAAATACACACCACTTAGGAAGCCACGATATTCCAGTAGACCCATATAAGGCAGTCACTATGTTAAAAATCATCTCGTTTCAGCAACTGATGACGAGTATTGGTGCAGTGATATCAATCCCTCTGCTCACTTGCACAGTCATTTGTGCAGATGACCTTCCAGAGGTAAAGGCTGGAGTAATAAGCATCTCGTTCTTTGTGTGCGGGATAGGGACGATTCTCCAGAACATCTTCGGAGTCAGGTACGTCGTGTTACACATACATCAGCAACATTTTGTCTGAATTGTAAATTGCAAGGATTTAGGGAGAAACAGTTCATATAATGTTAATTTTAAAATAGTTTTGGAGAAGAATACCATTGTGCTGGCATCCAGTAGTGTTCATCAAATGTAACTTTGTAACATCTCAAAAACAAGAAAAATAAAGTTTAAAAGATATTTGTTTTCCATGAATGAAATATTATCAAACAATTATGGTGTTTGGAAGGGCTCAGTGTGGTTCCGAACACTAAATACTATCAAATTGGCTGTAAACCATGTAGATATTTATTCATGAAGAATATGGGCTATTCACATCTGTTGATGCCAAAGGCATATCATATTTGTTACGTGTAGGATATTCTACAAGTCTAGTAGGTATGTTTTAGACTGGTCAGAAATGATTGTGGATATAGAGAAATTATGTTCCCTACAATATTTCAGATTACCCATTATCCAAGGAGCGTCTCCAAATTTCCTGGCAGCAATTATCTCGATGATGGCGGCAGACAGGTGGAAGTGTTCAACTGAAAGTAATCTGAAACTTTGAAGTATAGCCCAACGGCCTCCTTATCATGTCCATTGACACCCGGGTCTGCGCTAATTATCAGCTACCCCGTTCATACAATTTACATTTTATGCCGGATAAAATCGAAACACATTATTCTCCGGCGCTGTTGTTTTATATTTACCTGCTGAATGTTCATGATTTCAGCAGAATCATAAAAGTGTCTGCACATCGGCTTTACGATGCATATATCAATGAATCAACTACAGAAGGTCCACCCGTAATTCAGAACAACCACATGTGTTTTCAGCAATGGGATAGTCACAAAATATCATAGTGATGAAATGAGAAGCCTATGATGAAATCCATTCCATCTTACCAATTCTTATTCCGAGGAGCCACGAATTAATCCTGAGTAAAATCTCAGAAACAAAAGCGTCCAGGACACCGAAGTCCAGGGTGCCGTTCCACTAACCGATCTTAGCCCTACGCCAATCGTAAAACCCTAAAATCCCAATCTTAGAGTGACGTTACGATCGGCTTACCGTTCCACTAACCAATCTTACCCAAGTCAATCGGAAAGTTAAGATCCAAAGTCTAAGTTGCTCATGACCAACTTAGGATCGCTAAAATCAATCGTAGAGAAACCTAAAGTGGTGGCTTTCATAGTCTATATGAAGAAGAAGAAGAGCGAGCATTTCACCGTGAGCGTCCCCTAAAATCCCCCATGAAATGAATTTGAATATTTCTGTGATGTAAACAAACACTGCACTGAAGCCTTACAAATGTCAGGCCAGTCTGACCACTGTCGTCATAGGAACACAACCGAGCGAGTCGGTGTAACACATTTGTAAACAATATTGCAACGTCATGGGACAGTTGTGAAGTGAACAATGTTCTGAAGCAAAAAGATACAAATATGTTTGATTTCACTGCGCATATTTGGTGGGGGATTCTAAAGGCAGGCCGCGTGTTATTCAAGTTATTTTAGACTCCTCACGGCTTGTTAATTCTGATTGACAAGGTTCAGGCACATATTAAAAGCTCTGACACAATTGACATTTTTAAAGTTCAGACTTAAAACCTGTTCTCAGTATATTACTTATAATCTCGGCTGTAAATACTCTCGTGTAAATTATCTGTACATAGCGCTTTGAGCATGCCCCAGGATGTGGAATAGGGGCACTATAAATATGCATTTATTATTATTATATTATGCCTGATACCCAGCGTTCACACGCACTTGCACCTGAAACCAAGGTGCTCACTACCCTAATATTTTAGATTATTTAAAGACCGCCGCCATATAGCTGGACTATTGCTGAGTGCGGCGTAAATCTAAACTCACTCACTCACTCAGTTGGTTCGTAAACTACTTCCATCATTTGCTAGACTATGCAAAGGGAGATAACTCGTGCCACGCATTCCTCTATCTCTCGCACGAAAGAGTCTCGATCTAAGCTTGGATCGGATCGTAAGATCGGGACCGGCTACGATCGGCCTAAGATCGGGTCGTGGAACGCGTGTAACTTTTAACTAAGACGATTGTAAAATTGGCGTAACTTGCTAAGATTGATCTTAGATAAGATCGGTTAGTGGAACGGCACCCAGGACAAACAAATGTGAAAATATCACAACTCATATGTGTATGAACAAAGATAAGCCGTTCCATACTTATCAAACGGCATCTGATCATTACTGTCATTTGTAGGCGCCATCAACCTTGTAATATGTACACACGTAAAGAGATGAAGTCACACACACATATATACCTTTTGGTAGGGACAACCGGAAACGTCTGATAGATTACTTCGTTTACTATGGATAATTTTACTGTATTCACTACAGGACGAACAAGCACAAGAGTGTACGACAGAATAGCTCATTCAATGACGTTTTTGAAAAACTCATGGGCTTGTTTCCTTTCCTCGAGACGATTTTTCTGCCATGTAATGGGATCGCACTTTCATCATATCTGCTCGTGATTGTATCGGTGCCACTGATAAATCCGTGCTATTGATATGATCATATTGAATTTCTGCAGTTCCTGTATCTCACACGGTCAATGGGACAACTGATCTGCCATGGGTAGTGCGAGTGAGAGAGGTAAGATGTCTTCCCAAAATTACCACAACGCCAAACATGCCGTTATATGAAATAGATTATGTCAATATAGTCAACAATGGGTCATTTGTATACTATTGTAACATAATGTTGTAGAAAACGCCAGGAATAAAGTCATAAAATGAATGAATACAATTTCAGCATAATATCTTACAGATCCAAGGTAACCTAATGCTGGCATCTCTGACACAGATTGTGTTGGGGCAACTGGTGTTGTGGGCTTGTTGCTGAGATTCATTGGGCCTCTGACCATCGCCCCAACTATTGCACTGGTTGGTGTGTCTCTCGCCCCGCTAGCTGGTTCGCTATGCCAGGACCAATGGGGAGTCAGTATTGGGTAGGACTTTTATTGATGACACGTGCTTTGGCCTCATATCTGATGCTTCCATTTAAACTTCTTTGAGCATATCTTAATATTGACCCATGTGGTTATTCTCAACTAATACAGTTCAGTGCAATTCAGATATATATTATTTTAGGAAAAGGTTGTTTTGTTGAAATGCATGACCTTCGCCAGTCACTCGGTTATGCCGCAATCGTGTAATACTACCTGGTGGTCAGTTAACAATAGACTGTAACTGGTTCTCGTCTCAAAGCTTCATGAAACTTTATGTTGGTTTTCATGTGGTATATTACACGACCATTTCTAATTTTAACTTGCAGAACAATGCTTCTGGTAGTGTGCTTCGCGTTGTTCCTTGGGGAATACCAAATTGCAGTTCCCGTGTATACAAGACAGGAACGGTGCCATATTAATCGTTATCCCATGTTTCAGCTTATACCTGTAAGTAAATAGATGACCTTTCAGGATTATTTCACAAAGTGCAGTTTGTTATGTGGTGAATATTCGTGATGTCTGATAACATAATAATATCTACCGACCTTTATTTGAAATAAGAATTAGGAAAACAAAAGAGAAAAATACGAATCAATTTCAAAAGGAATTGTGATGGACCAGTATGGTTGACACGAAATCTCCTTTTTCAAGGTCTTGCTATCAATTGCCATCATGTGGATCCTATGTTGTGTGCTGACACAAACTGGCGTGTTTCCTAGCAACAGCACAGACTCTGGTTTCCAGGCCAGGACAGATTCAAGACTCCACGTCGTAAAGGATGCCCCGTGGTTTAACTTCCCATATCCAGGTACAAGTGAGATGTAACAGACAAACGACTCAGTTATTTTCTCATGCATTGAGATGCATGGCCGTAATCACTGACCCATGGTGTCTCCAGGTTACAGTCACCGGGTACAGACCACAACTGTTTCCAGAACCTTCCATTGGCATCCACGGGAGGCCGTTTATCATGTTCACCATCACCTTTTGTTTTAGAATGCCCGTAAAAGTGTTTTTCATTTTAACAGAGTTAATCTGTTTGGTAAAATTGTGTTTTGTTTTCCCCAACCTTTATTTTTGCGGAAAGGACAATCAACTCTTAGGAGAAATATGTTTTCTTTCGTTGTTTTGTATTTCAGTTAAATCTTTTTCCAAATTACCTTTTGCCTTTTTGACATGGGATTCCCTGATGATTTTAGTTTAAGGCACAGCTCAATCCATGAAATGTATTTTCTAGCTTCGGTTAGTTTTTCTTCTTGAAACCGGTTTTCTCTGGTGCTTTATTATTAGTATCAGATGCTTTTCTTTGAAACTGTTTGTCGTTCCTCCAACGTTCGAGCATTATTAATTCCAGTATCATCACGAGGGGCATTTGACATCCTCATCAAATGCTGCATCCATGTGGGGAATTGAACCTGCAGATTCGGCGTGAAGACAGCACGCTTCAAATACGTTAAAGCTCACATGCAACGCAAAACACAACTTTGCAGATTCTGACACCTTTCGGTATGGCCTTATAATAACAAATTATCCAAAATGCAAATTCAGAATATATAGTTGAAAAATAACGCGATGAAAAAATTCCCGCGAAATCGGAGTTCAAATGATTCATTAATTTCACCCCAGCTGGGGTGAAAAGTGTTTTCAACAGCTGTGCTGCGCCACGCACATAGCGCATGCGCAATGATTAGGTTCGCGCGGCTTGAACCGGGATGCGTGCAAGGATCATCGCTGTGGTCGAAGTTGGGGAACAAAAGATGTTTCTTGTGATTACAAGCATCTTGGGTCTGCAGTAATAAATATACACCGGTTCCATACTTTTTCTTATTTTGGTGGTTGGCAGATTTGCAAACCAGGTTTTCAAGAAAACATAGCATTAGAAATACTAATTTCATTGTTAACAAATGCTCAGCTTGAAAACTGAAATGTTTATTTCTATCGAAACATAGAAAAAACAAAAACATGTTGATTGTGATAAGCAGCCTCTGTCTAAGACAAAAGTCAATATCTGTTTTATTGACACCTATGTGTCTGCCTCCCTGTCTGCTAATGACAATATGAAATACACAACTTCAATCATTGACCACATGCAATTTGAACTTAACATCAGGCTAGACACCATAAACAAAATACATTGATTTATGGCTCGTGCACCTGAGTTCTTTCTCTGTCAGATTATGTAATTACACAGATAGGCAGGTGTGATACTTGTACACATTGTTGATTGCAAACAAACTGCACCATTTTTTCTTGAATGACTGGATCGGACGGAAACCGGTGGAAACTCAGATTTCAGTTTCAAGTCCTGCTTTGTACTTGGACGAACGACAGTTTCTAGCTATGCAGTAGTTCACCATCTCAGTATTTCTTGATACTGGATCGAACGCAAATGCAGAAAAATGAGCATGTATTTACAAAACCCAACATCTCTTTACACACACACAAAGAGCTCAGAGCGTATCGGCAAATGAACCAGCCAATGAAATACTTCGTTACACTTAAGTGCACGCCCACCCGCTCTGACTGGGTTAGGTATCCCGGCTGCTTCTGTTTCGAGGGTAGTGATCCCCAAGTACCAAATATTGCACTTTTGATTTGCGATTGTACACTTTATAAGTTTGTTTATTTGTTTTTTCATAATCAGCCATGTATATTATATGTCATGAATAAATGATAATTGTGCCTTAATTATGTTTATCTTTTGGATGCAACTAAGCTTTCACTTCTTCATACTACAGGGCACTTGGGTTGGCCCACTATCAGTGCTGCTGGATATGTGGGGATGTTGGCAGCTACCATCGCCTCCATCATAGAGTCTGTCGGAGACTACTTTGTTGCTGCCCGTGCCTGCGCCGTCCCTCCTCCCCTCGCATGCTGTAAATAGGGCATTATGATGGAGGGCCTTGATGCCTGATAGCCGGCAGTGTTGGTGCTGTGCATGGGATAACATCTTACAGCGAAAAACGTTGGAGCTTTAGTCGTAACCAAGGTCGGTGAAACATACCACCTCGAATATTTACTGAGGAGTGAGTTTGTTTTACGCCGCTTCTAGCAATATTCCAGCACTATCACGGTAGGGGATACCAGAAATGGGCTTTACATGTTCAACAGAAATATTGTTTCTACTTACAAGTATTATTTCACGTACACTTACAGGACAAGAGTTGATAAATGTTAAGAATTTGCTTTGAATTACGAAATTCAATGTATTTATCCAACAAATTCATGTAATCGCACACCTAGTTTGTAAAACATTCACGATCCTTTCACCTTTCGGTTTCTCCTTCTTCCAGGTTGCAAGCAGATCTGTCTTTATCACGGCAGGTGTCATGCTGACTGTGTGTGGCATGCTGGGTAAATTCGGTGCTGTGGTGAGCCTCATTCCTACTCCAGTGATTGGTGGAGTGGCCCTAGTGACATTCGGAATGGTGGTCGCTGTCGGTCTGTCTACTCTGCAGTTTGTGGATCTGTCTTCATCGCGGAACCTCATGGTGCTTGGTCTGGCGTTGATGTTGGGCATAATACTACCACAGTGGGCGAAAAACAACCCCAGAGCTATTGACACAGGTGGGTGGGTGTACGTGAAGGAGACTGTGGACTGCTTCAGTTCGTATTCCAACAATATAACGAAAGGTAAACACCTTCCCAGTGTGTTGGTTGCAACATGGGTGAAAGAAAGTGTATGCTTATTGCTTCAAATATATGGCGGTGGTCTGTAAATAGTCGAGTCTGGACCAAATACTCCAGTGATCAACATCATGAGTATCTGTCTATTCAATTTGGATATAATGAACTGTGTCAACTAAGTCAGCGGGTCTGACCTCCCAATCCCGTTAGTAATATATCGGTTGACAAACATACTGAAATACATCATTCCTTCAACTACTGGGCATATGTTATTCATCAGGATGACCATAGCTACATGTCTTTCCTCAGAGGAGAGTGATAAAGTCGCAATCGTCCAATCGACTCTGCCTTTAGTAAAGCTTTGTTTGTAAAGGTTATAATTGCTTTTCTTCATTTCCAGGTCACGATGAGTTGACCCACATCTTGAACGTCCTACTTGGATCTCCCATGCTGGTGGGCGGCATGGTTGGGTGCATCCTCGACAACATAGCTCCAGGTAACTGGACTCGTGAAGGTCCGGGTTAGAATGAACCTTCAGTAACCCATGCTTGTCGTAAAAGGCGACTAACGGGATCGGGTGGTCAGGCTCGCTGACTTGGTCGACACATGTCATCGGTTCCCAATTGCTCAGATCGATGCTCATGCTGTTGATCACTGGATTGTCTGACCTAGACTCGAATATTAACAGACCGCCGCCATATAGCTGGAATATTGCTGAGTGCGGCGTAAAACTTAACTCACTCACTTCAGGTAACTGGAACACCATCAGGAGTAGAGAATGACATTTTCTCTTATATTCTATTCACGACGATCGGTGCTAGTTATTGATGACAGCTGGTTCATAAACACTGAATACAAAACAGTTGTTTAGCCATTCTAAGTAGAAATAATGTCACGTACGATCAGATACATGGGTATTATCTTTATTGCATTCAACATAATATACGTCCACGAATACTCAACCCCTAAGAAAGGAGCTTCATTGATCGCTAGAACACGTAGAGATTTTCTCTCGTTTCGGCCTCAGCTTGTTATACCGTAACCCACGCTAGCTTTTGGTGAACGTCAACTCTGCTTTTCAATATACCTGAAGGAAC